AACTTTCCATACCCACAATCTGGTTAGCCTAAGCTTCAATAACTTATGCTAAATTCAAGAACAAGTATTTGTGAGCCAAAATCACTACTATTACTTACTTCTGTCTTTGTAGAGTTTATCTAAACCTCAGTACCTACTTTACAAACTATTTAAAGATACTCTCCAGATTCTAAACTACCAATTCAGATAGCTTGATAGGGATTTTTGTCTACAGAGTACTATGAGTTCGACAGGGCGGCCCTCAAAAGTTCAGGTGATGATCAACATAATCACATCGCAACCGCTGAAACCTTGAGATTATCACATCGCCTATATAGAATTATCCATCGCAACATTTAAGATAATCAAGAGACGTTATATTACTCTCGAACATCAACCGTACTATGTTTTTACGTTCAACAGAAATAAAATAAAATATGTGCTGCGGTTGCTGCGGCGATGATGTGATATGATGTCGATCATCACCCGAACTTTGAGGAGCCGGCCTGTCGAACTCATTATAGGTTACTAATCTCTTGATATTTGCAATTAAGCAGATTCTTTTTCTCTGATTCTGGCAGTCTAGTTGGTAAAGTACTTTCTTAAATACTTGATTTCATTCAGTCTTTCTAGTTTGGCCTAGCTATTTCAAACTATTAATTCAGATAGATTAGAAAAGATTTTTATCTGAAAGTTACCAGTTCTTTGATAATTGCAATTAAGCAGATTTTTTTATTTAGCCTTGGTGGCCTGGTTGGTAGTTAACCCTGTGGTTTGTTTAGTTTTCTGGTTCTTTCTAGTGATAATATTTTATATAGTACTATCAAAAATTTGTGCTATCTTTTTACTCAGATCTTGTCAAGCAAATATCTGTAACTTCAATTTCTTGGCTTTATACAGATCATCAGAACTTATTGTGAGTTTGCATTGACTAATACTGGCTTATATATTTTTATATAACTTATATGTTATACAAATATCTGATAATCCTTCTAGATATTAAATATTTGATATAATCTTGGCTACAGATTAGCAATCTAACTTATTATTACAGTAACTATTCCACAACAGAAAATTTGAATTTTGTTGATGGTGAGATTCGAACTCTAGATATACTGCTTGGGGTGTGATAATTAAAGATTTATTATAATATATATATAATTTATATATTATATATTTTTTTTGTAAAAAATAGGCATGTTATATCTATATTTTATTGGTGTTTACTGAACTACAAGTTACAAAAATTC